TTCAAGTTTTCCCTTCTCCTTGTTACTGATATGTAATAGTTGTAAATTAAACTGTAGTAAAATATATCAATAAATGTCAAAAAAAAAGAAATTACTTAACCACATATACTGTATGCATAAAGCTAAATAAATAAATAAATTAATTAATTAATTAAGAAACAAGGAAAAAATTTTGAATTCTAAACTTTACGGTTTTTAAGCAATAAATAGCAAAAACATATAATATCTTTTTATTCAATTATTCTTAGCATTTATTGTTGAGAGAAATATTGCTAAAATTATGATCAACCAAAAATTACTAATGCAAATTCATTGAAATTTGAAATTTGATAATAACATGAAAATATTGAATGTTCAACTTAGCCTATATATTTACACCGTTGATCGATTGATATGATGGATCAAAAATTGTTGCAGTAAATCCTAAATGTAACTCATAAAGTTAGCTAATTATTGCATTCATACAGTATTGATTAGAATATCAGTGAGGAGATTTGGTGATAATCGATAATTGTAAACAATGTTTTTAATCGATGAAAAAAAATTCAAATCATTTCCTATAAAAACAAAAAGAAAACAAACAAATAAACAAACAAAAAAAAACGAATGAATAAAAAACAATGATTGTTTTTTTCTAATTAAAAATAAACAAACAAACAATTTAAAATGTAATATAATAAAATGAATTGGTAGTTTAAAAATTTTTTAATCTTTCTGATGCATTTAAATTATTTTCATTTATTAGACGAATTGAATGGTAAATTTTGATAAAATTAACAAACATATTAATCTACCTGATATTAGGCGTGTATCATTAACAAATATATTAATCTATCTGATATTAGGCGTCTATTATTAACAAATATATTAATCTGCCTGATATTTAGACGTCTATAATTAACAAATATATTAATCTACCTGATATTTAGACGTCTATCTAACTATCATACAATTTTGTTATTTAATTTAATCATTTATTATGCACAAAAAAGAATATTTTAGCAATCGAAAAAATGAATTAACAAATTAAAATATTCATCATTTATTCATCTTTTTTCCTTTTAATACCTAAATCTTTGAAAATTACAATGCAAATTTTTGAAATTTCATATCTTATAAATAATATAAATTGTTGAAATAATGTGTGATAATTAAATTGTTTAAAGCAGTCGTCAGTTTAGTTCCTTCAGAAGAAAATTTAATTTTGTATTAATATTAATATGAAATGAAAGTGGATGATATATTGTGTCAAGTATTATCAGTTGGTAAAGAAGGTGGTGGATTAAGCAAAAATATACGTGAAGATGATTTATTAGCTTTATGTGTAAAAGCTCGAGAGGTAAAAAGAGATTAAAGGAAATTTAATTATATCAAATTTTATTTATATGAAATTTTGAAATTTTAAACGAAAAGAATTTTTTTTTTGAAAAAATTTTCCTCAAATATTATCAATAATTTAAACATTAATTTATTATTGAAAGAATTTGAAAATATTCAAAATTTCTTGAAAAAATTTGTTAATTTAAAATTTTGTTTAAAAAAACAAAAACACATTTTGATTTTGCTTTTTCACCTGCAGATATTTTTGAGCCAATCGATATTTATTGAAATTGATCCACCAGTTAGAATTTGTGGTGATACACATGGTCAATATGGTGATCTATTACGGCTTTTTCATCGCGGTGGCTTCCCACCACAATCAAATTATCTATTTCTTGGTGATTATGTAGATCGTGGCCCACAAAATCTTGTTAGTTCTTTCAATTTTAATTTCAATTGTAAAATTTTGATTGATATAAATCACCTTGTTGAAGTTTTAAATTCATCTAATGAAATAGTATTGAAAGAAGGTAAATAAACTGTTGGAAGATAATGAAAAAGCAAAAGAAAGAAATTACATCAGAATGAAGCGTTAACTTTTGATGCAAATTTTACAATGAAATTTGAAAGCAAAATATCACAGTATGAAATTTAGTTAAGGATCAAACCAAAGTATGTTACTGCAGTATTCCAATGTTTAGTAGGCTTTACTGTCCTGTGGTAAATAACAAAATGATTTATTGATTATATTTTGAAATTGCAAAATAAATATAAATATATTGATAAGCTAATATGTTGTTTTACCTGATATTTAGACGTCTAACTATCATATAGACGATTGCATTAATTTCTTTCACTTTCCATCCAATCACCTAATATTGCCTTCTTCTATCGAAAATTTAAAAACTATCATCCAAAACAATGTAGAAAAATTAAATGATTTTTTGGATGACGATCTTGAATTACGATTCAACATAAAATTTGCTTTTGAAAATTTAATTGAAACTTACTTTAATAAATAGGCTGTAGTGAAATTTTAAGAAGTTTCAAGATTGTCATCTAAAAAAGTATGGAAAAATTATTTGTATCTAATTATCTATAATTCAGTTTAAAATCCACTTCTTAAATCGTAATCTAAACTTTTTAAGTAATCTTAAATGACTTTCAGGAAGTCATTTGTCTCTTATTTTGTTACAAAATAAAATATCCGAATAATTTCTTTTTGTTACGCGGTAATCACGAATGCAATACGGTTAATCGAGTATACGGATTTTACGACGAATGCTTGCGACGTTATGGTTCAAGTCGTCTTTGGCAGGGATTTCAGGTATAGCGCAGAATCGGAATTTCTGTTCTGGTAGAAGAGAAAATTTTTTCTTGAAAAATGATAATTTTGCATTGCGTCGGATAAAACTCCAATCCAGTGAGAAAAGGGAATAGAAATGTTTGTAATTAATTCCGAATTACTCTTTATTCAAGCCTAAACATTCTATCTAATATTCCTGAAAGAATTTAAGGAATAGAATTCCCAATTTAGGATGTTTTTGCTGTTATGCCTTTATCTGGCTGTGTTGGTAGTCGAATATTATGTATGCATGGAGGCTTATCGCCAAAATTAAAAGACTTCGAACAGGTTTCATAATCTGGAATTTTCTTTTCCGGGAGCTTTTCCGGGCTATGACAAAATAAGCAAAAAAATTATGTAGATCATTTCATGGTTTCTTTTTACTCCTGTTTCTTGCAATGAAAAATTTTAATTTGAAATATGAAATTTTTACGGGAACACTAAAAAGGCAAACATACACAGACTAAAAAAAGCAGACTAAAAATCAGACTAAAAAAGCTATTCCGGTTAGTTTATCCGTGTATCCATTCCCAAATCTAGAGATTTAATATTCTGAAGCTAAGATTAGTGCCATAGCAAATTTACCAATGGTTATCCAAATGAATGTCAATTTTACAGTTACGTAGTATATCGCGTCCTCTGGAACCGATTGGCCCATCTCTAGAAATGGATTTGCTTTGGGCTGATCCAGTAGTAGGTATTCAAGGTTTTGAACCTAATTTACGTGGCGCATCGTTTGGTTTCGGTGAAGATGTCGTCATTGATGTTTGTAAAAGGCTGGACATTGATATGATTGCTCGGGCTCATCAAGTAAGAATTATTGTAATTTTAAAATATTTTCCTTGAGATGAAACAAATCCTGTACAGATAGATATCCTAGGCAATTTATTGCATGTATAAACTCTTGGAGCAGTTAAATTTCTGTTTTAACTGTTTAAATGTATCATATAACTGTTTAAACTGTTTAAATGCATCATATATTTGAAATAGGACGGAAGTGAAGAAACGGTGAGATTCGGATAAAATTGAATAGCTCTGAAAGCGGTAGTTTTTGTGATCATTTATAAGTATCAATGAGTTTATTTAATTGCAACGTAGAGCAAATAAAGGCTAATTTCAGGTGGTACAAGATGGCTATGAATTTTTTGGCAATCGCCGTTTAGTAACGATTTTTTCGGCACCGCATTATTGCGGACAATTTGATAACTCAGCTGCAAGCATGATTGTTGATGAAAATCTTGTCTGTTCATTTCAGGTTTCATATATTTTTCAGTAAACTAAGAAATCTTGCAAATCTTTTTTGTCCTTCAGAACTGCTGCATATATCACATAAATTTTGAATACGGAGAATCGAGACTAGTCGTTTTCAACTTACGAGACCAATTTTTCCATTTTTTTTTAGATTTTACGACCTCAAACAATACCAGGACAAACACGCCTTATCAAAACTATACGTAACAAAACTGAAAAGCTTTCCTACGAATTATGATGCTCATGCTCGAAAAACTGGTAAATGATACATTTAGCAGTCTGAAAAAATGAATAATCACTCATAAACAAGCTTATCATTTATCGCAATCTCTAGTTTGCAGCATGGAAACAATTTGGATTAAAAATTTATTATTTTACTTGAACACTATCAAACATATAAGCAATGCCTGGGATTATTACAAAAACTTTCTGATATAATAGAGAATACCAGTATAAGTGAACTCATAAGTTTATCGGTAATGTACGAGAAGCTTGTGTACAACTTATTCATAAATATAAATAGCATTGAAATTTTAAACTAAGCGAAACCACAAAAAAACATTCAATAAGAACACTTTACCCGCAATTGTTTGTCTCCCTGCTAACTTCCAGTAATAAGACAATGTAGTAAAATGAATGAAATGATCCTGCAGAGATCTCATAAATCTATGGAAAAAAATTCCATTAGTAAAAATCATGCAAAAATTATTAGCGCTATAAACAATGATGAAAAACAGAAAAAAAATTAAACTGCAGCAAAACAAAATTTATAATACCGATTACAGAAAATGAAATCAGACATTTTAAAGCATTAAAACTGAAAATTCAATTTCAGGAAATCAGTGCTATAAAAAATTTAAGAGTGAAGCAATCGCCGTCTTGAATCTGACAAATTTGACAAATTTTGACAAATTTTATATGGCACTCAGAAACTATATTCCACTGATTTCCCTTACCATTATTCCTAAACCTCATCAAAATAAGATAAATCAAAATTTTCAGGTAAAACAATGAAGTAATTATAAATCCTAAAGATAGTAACTAAGATAATTTCAATGGATAAATTGAAACAAATATTAATATATTAGTGAGAACCTAGGGCATTATCAAGCATTTCCTCCAAATATTTTTCATTATATAACGATCGAACAACATGCGCAAACAATGCACTCATATGTGAGATATTGTAAATCTCGACCTGAACAAAATAAGGTTGAGCCAGCTGCGAAGTTGCTTGGAATGGAATATAATGTTTATATGTGCACAGCTCCTTGAATGATTGTATACGACAATTAAGCACCGGAGCATTAACAATATTTCGTGGTGGCTGGTTTGGGGCTATCGTTTGCTGTGATATATATAAATTCATCAAATGGAATATGTAGCGAATTCTGGAAAGAGAATTCAGTGTTACCATTTATAATGATATTCAATTGGAACAAAAACTTTTCATTCCGAAAGCAAACTAAGTTTAGAATTGCTGTGAATTGCAAAAATTTTGGATCGGTAAAATTTAGAAAAGAAACTAATGACTCAACAAACTGACTCAACAAATTGGCTTTGTACTGAGTTACAGTAAGGACATTTCTCCGAATATTCTAAAAAACAAATCACAATTATTAAAATATGCACTGAAGTGACAAGCGTTACAAATCCACACATTTTCTAAATAGTAAGTTAAAGTCCAAAAATAAGACTAACTTGATGGAGTAAGGTTGCTTTTTTGAAAAGCCAATCAAAGAAAAAAGCGAGCTTGACTTGTCATCACTGTATGCTCGTTCAAGCCATTCCAAATACTGCATTAGAAACTGATTGCCTTGTGTCACAGAATAATTGTATTGTCGTAATAATAATTTTTGCAATTTCTCCACCAAAAGTAGGAATGCTGCTTCATTGGTCACGTATCTGGAATGAAATGAAATTGTTTTTCGACATGACCAAAACGCAATTATTCCCTTATCACTTTCTCTCCTTTCTGCCATACACTTTTTCTCATCTCAACATTTGCACTTTTATCATAGATTTTCAGGAAAAAAGATTACAAAAAAATTAGATAAAAATAAATATGCTTTTCTTTTTATTATTATCGAAATGTTTTATATTAAAATAGTTAGTTTCGACACATCTTAAAATATGACATATTTCGTGTAATCAAATTGTAATTTTATCCTAATGACATATTATAAACAATGAGATCAGATTACATCCATATCTCAGCTTCCAAGACAAGCAAATCTGACATAACTTTGCTGGGCATATGATTGGATCTCATTAATATTGAAATTATTATCAAATCCGATCTATCCGAAAACCGTTCGGTAAGAATCCTTGATTTGGATGTTAGTGCAATTGAGATATAATCATATGCTCAGCAAAAGCTAACTAGTAATAGATATTTCTGGAATCATAAATTTTATCTCCTTGAACTTTAAAAAGTGATACCTTGGTTTGATAGTTGTTACGTAATCCAACAACGTTCGCAACAATGCATTTTCCTGCTCATTCATTGATGTCAACGACATAAGTTGTTTCATTATAAATGTGTTTGCGCACAATGGTAAGAAGAATAAGTTATTTTCAGAACTAAAATTGATCATAAGAGAAGGATATTGAAAGAATAAAATAATAAAACTTATATGCTTCATTAAAATTTGGCGAAATTAGAGTATCACTGTATATATTTATTAAATAAGAACTATAATCTTCATTTAAGTACCATAATTCCAGTAACTCTATTGTGGAGTAAGGATCAATATTTCGGATAATTTGAAATATCACGTAACATATCCTTGTTTTAAAAGCTTTATGAAGCCAGAGAGTCAAACATTCACTGATTAATCTCAAGAAATATATGGCATCATCAATTTTTGGTATTAATTCGTTATAGATCGTGCAATTGTGGTACAATATCGAAAAAAATAAGATTCACAATGATGAATTTCAACGGAATCAAACTTGGAGATAAATATTCCGCAAATAGATTACAAAACTCACCTAGGTGAAGTAAAAAGAATTTGCCCGCAATGGTCAGGTAATACAGCCCACTTTAGTACAACATTCCATTCGCACAAGCCCATTCCTTGAAGAAATAATAAGCTTTATAAAACTGAGAGAAGTCACTAAAGAAACATACGTCTTTAAAGTTTTATATCTACATCATTCATAAGTTGTTTCAGTGTTTCATATTTACAGGCAAACAGAGCAATATTTTTTTTTTTAAATGTAAATATTTAATGATCATAACATTTAAGAATGTAATTCTTTTGCTGCGTCTGATGCAAAGTTACACTTCGAAATAGCACGCGCAATCTAACTGCAACATCTTTTATTTCCATATTAGTCACGAGCCTAATTAATCAGAAATCTAATTAACTTCCATTATGAAATGAATTACATTGAGTAACCTAGACAGCTTAAGTGAGCACCCTTCAAGACATTTAATAAGGAAGGAGATATTATTTTAGCAAAAAATCATAAAAAACGTACTTCCAAAATATATTGTAATACATTTCTCGATAATTTGAAGACCTATCGAACTCTGCTTCATTTTTAACGAAGCTACGGCAGTATTCATTAGTAATAAAACAAGTGAAGAATTAGGATTTTTCTCCAACCATTGCAACAAAGTTGATGAAAAACCTTCTGAAAAAATCACATCCTGGACTTTAATCATGAATTTTTTTATCTTCTTTAATTTCTCTGCAATAGATTCCTTGCAGACTATCCATTCCACATATCAGAATACTGTCCTTCTCATTTATGCAATCAGAAAGCTCCGGTGTTTAAATAGTGCTCTACTAAAAAGCAGCAGAATATCTTTCAGAACTGCGCATTTTGGCAAAAATTACCGAATATTTTTTTTTGTTCTAAAAGAAAAGAAACAAAACTCTAATATTCTTCACATACTTTGCAACCTTAATCTTTGTAAAATTGTGCAATATCTTTTTACGTGTAAATAAATATTATTAAATAGAAATAAATATTTATTAAAGTTTAACATGCTTGCCGTACAACAAGCATATTTCTCCAGCTGAAGTTCATTCAAAATTTTTTTTCCAGTACTTTTGTTCCTTAATTCCTCTTTCATTTATTTTCCCTTGAATGACACGCCAACTAAAATGGTTAAATTACTTACCTAAGAATTTATTATCAGATATCTCAGACCAGAATGACGTCAATTCACGTGACAAATATATCTGGTTTTCTGATGCTAGTCCTGGAAAAACAGATATCAATAACATCAACATTTTTTTTGTAAAGCAGGTTTAATCATTAAATCCCTGCAACTTCTTAATATCAGCAACATTGCTTTTATCAACTTTAAACCTTAGCGACAATAATGGAATCAAATACCTGTTGATGAAACGATATTATGAACAACTTTGATTTGGTCTTCATAAAATCGTTTTAGCCATGCCCGATCGTCTGAATTTTTAAGCATCAAGGCAAGTTGAGTACGAACATATAGGGATTGTTTCTCACAAACTTCTGCAGCCGCAATATCAGCCGGAAATGTCCCAAGGAAGCAAACGCGACCATACAACCTGTTGATTCAAAACAGAAGATTTTACACTTTTAAATCGAACAATATCCACCCTTTACGTCTCTACCAAAATAACTATACAGATGGGTACAAATTCATTAATCTATATTAAAAAATTAACATAATAACAAAAGTGCGGGAAAGATTTAGATCAAAATTTGAAAATAACAAAAATTTATATTTAAAGGCAAACTAAAGGCAAACTCGAAAAAAGCATTCGTAACATCGTCCTGTTCAACCAGGACTACTGATGAAAAACTGGATGCAATACGAGATGAAATAACTTTAAGTTGTTTCAAATCAATTAAGTGCCATGGAAATGGTCCCAATGAGTTCATCAATTTCGGCAATGAAGCACGGCAAATCTGCAGTAATTGATAGTACAGTTACAAATAAACGTCAAGTACGCCAAGCTACTGGATAGTATCTATCTTGTAAACAAACCATCCCACCCCCGACAGAATTACTTTTTTTTGTGGGAATTTTATCATCCTCTAATTTTAAGACCGAACAAAAAGTCCTAATTTGGAAAAAAAAAGGATCGTTAAAATTGCATAACATATAATACAGGCCAAAAGTTTTAAAACAAGGACAAGAGTTGAAAAAATTGAAGCTTAAATGTCGTGGGCAAAGTTAAAAAATCAAAATTGGAGATCAAAAAATGAAAGACAAGTAATGGGTTCAATGCGATACTACCAATTTTACTAAGAGAGAAGAACAAAGCCATTCATGGATTACTTACTACCGATTCCAATTCATAAATTCCACTGTTATGTGCGATATCAAACGATCAATTTCTTGGATTCATTGATGAATTAAAAATGTTTTTGTAAAAAAAACATCAAAATGATGCGTAATTGACTAACTGTATAATTGGATGGCCGACTGATACAACTTGCCAGTAGTGAAAATAATAATGAATAAAAAACACGATGTGCATCTAAGGGTTGTTGCGCCTGTAAATCCAATTATTAAGAAAAATTTTTGAACCATTAATGAACAGAGAAAAGAAATTGAAATTTCATGATAGAATAAATGCTTAAAAAAGAATTGTGATTTGAGAGAAAAGAATTAATTTCTAAATAGTTATGTGTATTCAATGGCACTATGTGAAAACGACAGTGTAATCGAGAAGCATGAAATAAACGAGTGAATCCTTGAATTACGGAACAACCAAGAGCAAATAAAGAAAGCAATGAAAATAAGCCACTTGATACTGTATGAGAGGAAGCCACGGAATACGAACAACAATTTGAGTAATAAAAGGTGCACTTTCAGGTGCGCCATCAACCATAATTTTGTCCATTGAAGAAAGGTCGCATAAACTTGGCCAAAATAAGTGCCATGGAATATTGATAAAACGACTTTCCTATAACTGAAGGAAATTTAAAACGATTTACAGTAGTAAAATATAATTAATTTAGTGTTTTATGCTGAGCGATCATCTAATTACCAATGTAAATTAGCAAAGGTAGGACAGAGAAATAATACCAATCTCCGAAGCTTCAAATGATTCAAAATAATGTTTTATAGCGGATAAGATTAGCCTATTAAAAAAAATATAGTAGGATTCTTTTTTTAGCTTTACATACATCATGTTGTCGGAAGAGCTGGTCAAATAGAAATGATCCAAACAAATGTAAGTCATAGTCTAAACCTTAAATCAACATATTGGATTGATGCGTAACAACTATGATAAAACATACAATAATTTGATGCACATGAGAACCGCCACGTGTAAAAAATGCCAATTTCTCAGCGTAGTAACGCCAAAACAGTGTTATCAAATTTTCAGAACCAGGTGGAAAATACGCGTCGTACAGTAAATGAAGTTGTTCCATCAACGATATAAAGTAATCCAGAACAACGGCAGCACTATTAGAATCAGCTGAACTCCATGGTGGAAGACCAGGGCCAAACTGCTCTAGAAGTGGGCCAAATACTTGCGTGCAATTTTCAAACACTTGCCGTAATTCTGGAAACATTCTAATAATTTACCAAATCAGTAATAAACAAAGCAGTCACCAGTAAGCATGACAAATAAATCATATAGTTCAGAACCAATACGAAAAGTTACCTTTTTCAGCCCAATAAGTACTAACATTAAAGGTGGGGGAAGATATAATCGAATCTACATTTAAATTAAAGCAATAGTAGCAAACTATGTGTCTAATTATTGCTACAGTGTATTTAAACCTTTTCCAATGCTTTTTATTCTATGTTAACTTCATAAAATATAAAACGACATTATTTATAGTTCAAAAAGACAAAAACTGTTAAAATCTTCGAAGACTGATAAACTTCATCAATGGTTAGAAAAGGAAGAAGACCTGATTCAAGTTTTCCAGTAGGTCGTTCAGAATCAAATGATAAAGATGCTGCACTGTATAAAAAAAACTGAGCCAAGTGCAACACTTTTGGTAGATAATTAGCCCAAACATCGTACAATCTGGTAGATAATTCATTCCTAGATTTTCTAAATTGTATAGCAACTGTTCCACTTGCAGTAGACGCCTAGAATAACCAATTACATGTTACATTTCACATGTTACGTCAAAAAAATCATCTTTTGGAGAATTGCTGACCTAGATAATGCAAGCAAAAAATAGAAGACATAGTAAGTAGAGCATTGTGGAGCAATAGCCAAGGATTAACTATAAATTAATTTGACTCGCCTTTGAAACCATTCACATGAATTACGAGATTAACCAACACAGCTTCAAAGAAAATTAAGTAAATTTGAGTAAAATAGAGGCATATTTTAATTTAGACCAAAATTCAGAAAAGCGCATATAAAACTTACAGTCATAGTATCAATAATATGCTCTGGTTTAGTATCCATTGCGTCCACCTTGTCAGCACCAAGTTTTTTGATAAATTCATCGAATATGAAAGCTGGTGTACTTTTTGTATTGCACGCTAGAAAAACGCAAAAAGTTTTACTGGATCTGCAAGACTTTCTCGAAATGAAATCCAGTTAAAAACTTTTTTAAAATTATAAAACACACCATGTAATAATCTTTAGAGTAAAATCTTTAGAAGAGTTTTATTCTTAAAGATTATCTTAAAGATTGAAAGAGTTTTATTCCAGTTTTAAAAGCAAAATGAAATCCCTGCACGTTTTCAAGTACTGACAATGTTAGTAATGTAACATAAGGCAAGAAATATATGTCAATAAGAAGGTACTGTGCTGTATAAATGTATCAAGATGGAAAGACTAATTACGAATGAGGAAAAGCACTTAGAGCTGCGTTAAATACATCCATACATCCTGAATCCTTTATCTTTAGAAATGGAAATAAATTACATGAGTTACTTTTTGTTTTATCGTAAGAAATTTTAGGGAAAAAAAATTATATAACCGCCTATACCAGCAAGTGAAAGTTTTAGGCCATCAATAAAATTGCTCGGAAATCGATGAAATACAGAATGGATGAAATGCTTTGCGCAAACGTCATATAGCGGCAGCAAGGTATCCGATATTGAAATCAGGTTTTCAAATGCAACAGGCATAAGCTCTGAGAATTGATGGGGCGGCAATCTGAAATAATGCAATACATTGCTTCAAATAAGTTGCAGATTTAGATCCAAAATAATTAGGAATATAGCACCATTGAAGACGGCATGAATGCATAAGTGAAAAAAATCCATCAAAAATGGCGTTAATATTTTTTGCAACTCTTTTTGTCCACAACAGATGCAAAGCTGAACGAAATGATTTTTGACTGCTGCAATTGTAAGCTACTTGATGGCACCCTACAACTGAACACGCTTTAGCTTGGTCTCCAATTTTTGGTATGAATTCAATTATAAAGAAATAAAGACCAACCTATCACCAGCATTCTTGATATCTAGTTGTGACAATAAAGCTAATGCGGCCGATGATGTGACTGGATTACGGACTGCTTTACTCAAAGATGTATATAAATTAAGTAATTCGGCTGGCGGGACACAATGAGGAGTGAAGCATGGAGTCAGAAGATGAGCTAAATGAAAGCCATTTAAGATAACACGCATTAAATTATGCTGTTCGTGTGGGTTATCAGCTATAAATGCCTGCAAAACAAACAAAAGGTTATTGAGAAGAACTGTCTGAGTTGTAGATAAATTTTCCCGATTCTTCTGCTGACTGCCCTATTCATCATGTCGAACACATTTTTTGGATGATTGATAGGATTTTACCAATTTCAGCTTTTTTTGGAAAATTTCTTATCCCCAGTCCTTTTTTATAGAGAATAAAAAGGAAAACTGTCAGTCAAACAAAACCAACTTTTCCAAGTTTGGCTAAAGCGAATTCATACGAATCTGCTGCTGCTGGGAAAATCATTTCCAATGAGGTGATGGAAGAAGTGGAATGGTAAAATAGCATTCGACCTGCATCGCGCAAAAGTTTTGCGTACACAGTAGAGAGGGAGTCAACATCTTCCATATAATTATGCATTTTACTGAAAAAACAATCTTTTGACAAGTTTATACATCTAAAATTTACTAAGATGAAAAAACAGCTGATTTCTAATTTTTTGACCTATATGCAAATGTATTTATCGTATTAATATCGTATTATATCAAACCAACTGACTAACAAAACAAAACATAGTTGGAATTTCTAATTCCATAAACTCCCACAAACGCTACGTTAAACTTCAACTTCGTTTGGTACATTAACGGTGAGACTAATATGTGGATCCAAATAAGAAAAATAGATTAGAAAATTTCTCATCACTTACATCACTATACTTTCCAAATTAGCACAATGAAGTGATGTTTGCTCAAATAATTTAGAAAAGATATTCGCTAATTCATCGGATCTATTTTGACGATTAACCTTCATTTTGGTTTCCACAGATGTCTAGAAAAAAACGTATATGATAAAGACATTTGAATTTCTTTTATTTCTTCAAAATTCTGATCCTTGAGATCATTTTCTTCTAAAAATTTGGAATTTCAAAAGTCAGCGCGAAGTTTAAGCAAATATCAATGGAAGATAAATACTACCTGATATTGACTGGCTGCAACGGTTACGGTAGATGTTATAGGATTAGCACATTTGCGACTGAAGGTAGTACCACATTTCAACACAATAATTAATTCAACTGTTGATTTACTATATAGGTCAGGATAGTAACCGACATACTCGTCATCAAGCATTTCTACCTGATCTTTTGTACCAACAAATACCCTATAATTCTCAATTGGGTTATAAAACTAATTAGTAGCATCATGAATTTTAAATCTCGATCTACGTTGCTGTTTCAATAAATTTGAAAATTCGTTCCATCCCCTTGCCAAAAATTTGCAATTTAAACAAAAATAAATCTTTGTGAAAAAAGTAATCTTCTTGAAGCACATAAACACCTAGCAGCTTCGTTGATTGCTCTTAAATGTGAAGCGTATGACGTAAGACAATGGCGGCTATCAGATGCAATAGACAAATCGAAAGGAACTTTTGGCGGCAGTGTGGAATGCAGCCGTATCATCGGATAAGGCAATGCCTGACTGCGTTTGCTGAATTGAGCTATCAGTTGCGTAAGATTACGAGCTTGGATTACTGGAGGATTGACCACAAGTGAACGAAGATGACATGCAAATATATACAGCTGCAAAGCAAAATTAAAACTGACTGCATTTTAAGAACACTTTAATCAGAAATTTGAGTAAACTATTGTTTTGTCTCATTCATCGCACTCAAATAAAGAAAAAAACCTACATGACATTCTGAAAAAAAACTTTTTTCCAAATATTAAATCGATGAAAATTCGCAAACCTTCTGCTCATCACTGATTTTCTTCCGTATTTCATTTATATTTATATAATCAGACCAAGGATGCTGAAACAAAGGGAATAGCCGGGTAAGATTAATGGGACTCGACGACTAATACGACGAAATGAATAAGGTTTTTCACAACAAAATTTTTAATAAAAATATTAGTGGATCGGCTACATATGTATGTAAAAACTAACGAAATCATTTGCAACAATAAACTGCAGTAAATGGCCCAGTAAAAAATCGTTGAAAGCATGAAATGATATATCACAGATTTCCGGATTCGACAACCACTGAGCAAATGCCTGAAATACGAAAAGGAATTTCCCATTAGAAATTTTGCACAATTCGACATTAGAATGGTCATTAAAATTACGAACAGCTTTTGCATTTACTTCATTTCATGCAAACTGAAAATCCAGACAAATGGTCAACTTCAAGGCGTAAAAGTTATATCATTTTCAAATTACTTGATTCTCATTCTCTAAATCATTATCGACTGTAATGAATTCCTGTAACATATGTTTTTATTTCAAGTACGTGTACAGATATCAAAGATTATTTGTCAAAATATTGTTGGCTCAACAAATATTCGTCTTATTTAGTGCTATTAAAACTTTCGATCGAATAACCTTATGCTATACGATCTAAGTACAAACAGAATTCGGAAAATATGAAAATATGAAACTTCACCTTATAAAATAGAGAGACATTCTTTTCACTGCTGTACTCCATTTGAGGCAAAATCTTTTCTCGTAATTCGTCAAACAGAGACTTACTGGATGAACTCGTAAGATACTTTTTGCCGAAACAAAATTTTGATCTAAAAAATATCTTATACAGGATCAAAGCAAAAGCACATAAGGAATAAATTAAACATGGATTAAATAATTTTTTGGACTTGAATTTGTGCATATGTTGTATGATGATCACCTAGTGGTACATTGAGATATGATAAATATCAAATAAAGTAATGGCTAAATCGATACTTACCCCCAATATACTTTATATGAATATAAATGAATTGCCAAATTCTGTAAAATAAGAGGAAAAACCGGATGTTCTTTAATATTATCAATGCATGCAAATTGTAACCACCGATGAAAGTGTAGCCGTTCAATTGGAATGTTTAAATGGGATTTGGATGCTGCCTTCTAGAAATGAGAACATGATAATCCGATGATGAAATAAAATACTGGAATTCTACAATAGTTTAATGAGAATGCAAAGAATGTAAAGTGCAAAGCTAGATTTAGATTGTGCAACTGTGCACACATAGAGATCTTTTAATGAAACATTAAAAGTACAAAATGTGATTCGGAGGTGTTATTTAACCATTAATTAAGTTAAATCGCTAACCATAAACTTCGCTAACTTTAAATTTATTTAAGTGATTCACCTGAAATATTGATGCCGTATTACTGATTATGACTTAATAATTTTGAATACTAAATACTGAGACTAATTTAACTTAACAAGACCACGAAAAAAATAATAGCATTATGAGATTAAATTCGAATATTACAGTATACCTTTACAGACTGATCCAAACTATTTTTTGGATGTTTACTCATTGCTTGATACAAAGTTTCATAAAAGACTTCATGATTCTTTTGTTCAGCCAATAATAGTGCAAAGGATGCCCATGGTGAAACGCCCAAATTTGCAGAATCAATGATAGGAGGAATACTATCATCACTTGTAAACCATGATAGTATACCCTTTGATCCATCTTTCCACTGCTGCAATTCAGAAATTATAACTTCACAAAGATGGATAAACTGAATTGAAATTGTAAATAAAACTGCTGAAGTGTCCTGTCTTTCATTTAACTTAGCTTTAGAATACTTTTAAAATGTCTCAAACTATCAAATCATAAATTTAAGTTCTAATCACTCTATGAAACAAAAGGACGATCATTTGATGAATAAAATCGTGTTATGGGGTCTATTTCATTTAATTATTACATAGTTCAGATATGACATATAAATTTTTCATGGCAAAATATTTCTGAAACTTTATTACAGTTTTTGATGAAATTCTACCTGTAGCAATACGTCATAGTTGGTTTGAAGTAATTCCGGAATACCCAACAGCTCTGCTTGATCCCTTGCAAATGCTGTACGGACCAGTATTCCTAGCAGATAAAGTGTGGATTTATCGGTGTTCCATTGAGTAGGCCTTTTGCAGCACAACAATTGTATCCAGCCGCTCAACTGTACTTGCGAAAAATTCTCATTTATATGGTACTGAAATTTTTTTCAGATCTACACTTCATGTTCAAAAGTTGGATCTCAAGAGAAATTTCGAAATTCAGGCTAGAATTGCCATAGGCGTCGTACTAAAAAATCAGAAGTCCCTACTCTTCCAAAAGTTTTTCAGTAACTGAATACAAACCGCAATAGCTGAACCTAAAAGCCGAATAGTTGGACCAGGAAATTTATTGGCGCCAGCAATAAGTTGAATCGCATATGAGGACAAATCATACAAAAGTAATCGATCAAGACACTGTGTGAAGCTGTAAAAAAATTTAAAAATTGATAATCACATTTAACTTTGAAAACTCATTAACATGAAGGGAACTGATAGAAAGAAAAAAAGTAGCATGAATTAAAGCTTGATATTTAAATACATTTCTTGCGAGATTAAAATGGTGACTGCATCTGGAAATGATGACATAAGTCGTGAAAGAATTACTACTGATCCAACATAGCAACCAGATGTAATAAGTTCCGACCATAATGATAAGCCTGATGATAAAAATTCATCGACACTGAAAGCTGTTTTGTCTGATCGCAATTCTAAGAAAAATTCCAATAAAACTGTCATTATTACAATTACAATGCCTTGGCTTTAACGAAGAAAGAAATAGGAAATTAAAAAGTGACGCCCTGCATGTCCTATAATTAAAATAAATAAAGTTATATAAAAGTTATAATAAATAAAAAGTTATAGCAACCTTAATAATGATCGCTGCATAACAAAAACGAAGAAGAAGGCGAGATCGTTCACCGACTGGATATTGGAAGTATCTGCCTTAAAAGGAATTTTTATAAGCATGATTTTAGGTATTCAGCATTTGGAAAGTATTTGGCAAAAATTCAAAAAAAAGAAAAAAAAAACAAAAGTAGCAGGAATTTCAAATTTTGAAAATTTTTATGCTTAACTATCAATAATAATTAATGCTAATAAAGAGCAGAGATTTCAGGCGGTGGCCTTTTTTACATTTCAGGGACGCAAGTGTAAATTCTACAGCAGTAGCTTTTTTTGTAGATGGCTATCGAGTACAGGCTATATCATTAAAAACTTCAATAAATTCAATGGACCACTTTGCTGCCTTATGAAATATTACAAGGAGAAGTACCTGCAGGGGTAATTTCAATCGTACCAAAATATCCCAACAGAAAGCATCAAACTGATGCTCATAGTCAGGTACTTTCGATGCCAGTTTAGCGACTTTATTCCAGGATTTCGAAATTAATCCATTAGTTGCTTTACACTGGGCCATATGCCCCTTAACTAAAGTATCAGCACAAACAATGTGCACTTCAGATTGCAACCAAAGTTTTCCATTTTCATCTGTTCCCCAATTCATAGAACCCAGCACACGCCTTAAATAACTCTGATTAAACTGATAAACATGAATAATTTTTTCATAATGAATGTTGAAATCTTTAACAAATATTATAAAATTTAAATCCATAGAAATTTCAAACGTATTAAAGTAATTCCTATTTCTCTTAAATGCTTTTTCTATTAAAAACCGTTAACAATAAAAAACATGCTAGCCTGGCAATTCTGGACGCAGGGTGATTTGGTGGCCTGTTAATTAACCATTTTCCACATATTATGCCGACATCATCTACCGATAAGCGACATTTTGACAAAGGTGCCATTGACAGCACTTCTACTGCATACTGAAAATAAGTTTGACAATTTGGTTATAGCTTCACTTCAATATCTCAATTATGATTTAGTACTCACACATAATCAACAACTGCTACTGATGAAAAAATGCAAAAATCAGAACTTTCAAGCAAACTGAAAAAAGTTAACGTTGCAGCACAATGTTACACAATTTAAGATAGAAAAAACTTTAATGATTGAATGAATGAATGGTAATTTTCAAACGAACACTGAATTACCGTGTCAGACGAAAGGTTATACCATTATTTTTTCTCAATCTTGAATTTTCTAGCAGTTACTGCAAAACTAAAAATTACTGCAATTATCTGTAAATACTAAAATTATTAACTTCATCTAGGGAATCGAGATTTCGATCAACAAAAAGTAATATCTTCTGAAGGATATATGGATGCTTATCAACAAGAATTCCAATAGTTTCGGCACCAACTTTATAAAAATGATCGCGCGTAGAAACATCAAGAAAGCACACCTTAAAGAAGCGTAAATTACTGCATTATTAATAATCATAAACAGGTTGCACATGATATGTGGCACATTCGCAGGATACATAAGACTCGCTTAAAGTACAATCAAACCATGATAGAATATGCAATAAAAAGTGGCTTACCTTCAATATTTCAACGACAAACGAGTTGACATCTAAATTCGATGCAGAAATGATGGCTGCTAAAGCCGAAATCATATAAACGCAATCGTCACTGGATAAATCCGGTAATTTGTCAAATAAACTGCCAGCTTTAAAAATCAAAAAATATTGAAAAATTACTTATTGCAAATCTCGCATTATTCTGATCCTTCTAATACAGGAAAAAATTAATGAAGTCGATAAATATCATATAAACCTTTTTCAACTAAATTAGGCAAGTCTTCATCTGAAAATTGGTACAACTGCGCTATTGTTATTGCCATTTTTCGCCTCAGCAATATTTGACAACGCATTCGACATGTTTCGCTTGCAAAATTATATGGCAAGCCTACTATAAATTGCAAAAGACCAAGGCTGAAACTACTTTAATTATTACAATATTCGTTTTTTGATAAATAAATAAAAATTAACTTTAAAAAATTGGCAACAAATAAGAAAATAAATATGCCATCAATAGTCTAATTTACAGATGTTCCAAACCGAAATATTTTCCCGACTAATATTCACGCAAATTTCAAAAAAAGCATTATGTTCAATATGTGTTCGTCTTACTAATTGACTACTGAGTTCCAATAATGGCAGTCATTAATACCGGGAACAATAATTTTTCAAGGCATCAGAAATGATATGTTATAAAGGAAACTACCTCACAAGTTTTATATCACAATCTGGTCTTCCAAGCCAGTTTCAGCTAAGTATGACAATAGCTTTTTTCCACACTGATATTTTCTACACAAGTTTTCTCCTCATCCTCAATGCACTGTAATTGCAATACTACTGCTTACTTTTTCGTTTCTTGGCAAATGCTTATTTTAATTAGCCGAAGTGAGTGTATGACTTCAAAAAGAAGAAATGAGAAAGAGATGCTAGACAATATATAAAATAAAATACTTCTGCTTGGTAACGATATAATATACGGCATGTAGAATAATGCGATCGAATTCTTTCTGCACTATTTCTGCTTCAGCAATCGATAACGTATCTTTGATAACTTTCAAAAATTCTGCTGAACATCTGTAATTTATTCATGTTACTGGTGTTTGCACTGCTCGCATTATAAACAAGAATTATTAATATATAGCTGTCCTCAAAAATGTTCTACATTTCATGAGTATAATAAAACCAATAGTATGCTGAACATGATTCATTAAACAATCTAACACTATCAACCTTGCAAAGAATTTCTCCAACACAATCATTGGTGAAAGTACAGGCAGTACAAATAGAAGATATATCATGATACCACCAATAATTTTTACTCACAGCACCCATTCAATGATATTCTCATACTCTGGGGAGATGTTTAATCGAATTTGCTAAAAACCTCATTTGAATTAAATAAAATTTCTCAACCTAAAAACACAAGTAATTATTAAATCATAAAAACTATGATGTATGAATTACTTGAATAAAAATTACATGACGCTTTGGTGTAACGCACAGCCAATTCGTTTACAAAATTGACGATAGTTAGATATGCCATAGGTACATAAGCCATCGTTAAATATTTTAATGAGCACCAATTCAAAAGCAATCAAAGTTAAAGCCTGATTAAATGGATTTGACCCTTAAAAAAATGATGATACTAAACTGATTTAAAAAAATTTACCATGTTATTATAGCTAGCTGAAAATGAAATAAAGTTCGACACACATTTAGTTCTCTACAAACAGCAGTCTACATTTTCAAGCGACAAATTAAAGACTGAATAATTAATTACAACAGCTTAATTCGACTAGCATAACTTACTCAAAGTGATAGCGAAACATCGAACTGCTTTAGCAAAAGCAGCTTCAGCGCTAAACTGGTTGAGAAATGCAATCAAATCGGTCTCACTTATGGTTAGTACAGATCCATCTTTCTAAAAAATGCAGTCTTTCATAAGTTTTGTTGACGTATACATTTGGATAACTTTCAAAACTACTCAATAATAATTAAAATCACCATAATTACTCAAAATTCAATATATTAAATTCTCTATCCTACTCAGCTGCAATCAAACAATCAACAATATTGGCTACTATTGAAACTAAACATTAACTAATTAGTCATGTTAAAGTTCGAAAATCACCTCGGCTCCGTCGTCATTTATAACAACCCAAGCAGTGTTTTCATTTTCAACATTTATCATACGTCGCAAAAAATTTTCACGGCCTCTGTAATATATTAATAATTTATCAAAATTCAGAATTACAACATTTTATTAAATCATGTTGCCATATATATCAAACAAATACGACTTGTACCAATAGAAATAATCAAAATTAGCATAATAACAATGTATTGAGAATTAAACGAATGATGGATCCTCAATATTAAAATTCGATGAATTTAATACTCACCGTATGGATGAAAGCAGCAAACTCATCATTACTATATAATTATCAATAATAAGACGATCATTCATGCTGTCAATTTCGATATACGACTGAAGTAATGGTGCTGCCCATTGAGATACTGGTGAAACTAGACGAAGCACTTGACATAACAAATACTGCTGGTCAAAGGAGGTACATGCTTTCAGAAGAACAGCTACCTGAATCGCGAACTTTAAAAAAGTCATTTGAATGTTCTTTCCCAAAAAGCAAATTCATTTTCTGCATATAAGTAGAAGAAAGCGATTTTGAATACGGAACTTTTACCAATTCACTGATCCATCCAGAAACGGCAGTTATGAACCGTGAAGAAAGATCTGGATAACGTAAATAGTGGAACAAATCCGAAAGTGCATTACGAAGATTTCGCCTACTTACAGTATCAGCACCACCAGGGAGAACTAAAATTCGAAAAAAAGAAATCACAGGAAATATGATTAAAATGATGCTTTAATACAGATGAAAAGTTATAAAATAATACTTCTTTCAGAAAAAAAGACTCAGAACTCAAATAGATTCATCATCCAGTTTCTGAGAAAAGAACATATGGTATTATATTTTGCTTGATATTATAAAAACAATTCATAAAGTTCGATGAATTTATAACGAGGAAGGGGCGCTATTATAGCGATTTTCGGTGTGATGCAACAGATTTGCAAAACTAACAACATGGTGGACTATCTATATTGCAACGATGTTCCATCATAAAAGTATTGTTGTACTCAAGAATATGCCACTGAATTTGTAATGCAAGAGAGCGCATCTGCAATCAAGAAGAAATCACACATCTAAATGTCTTTTTCATATCTTAAATAATAAACTATTCGCAGAACTAATTAGCACCTGCCTTTGAATAAATTGAGATGTTAAACCTCAGCTCATATCTTCATATAATATAGCTACGCAGCCATCAATTAACATAAAGATTAAATAAAACGACTCGATATTCAGCATATTCGTCTGCTTTAAAAAAAAACGATGTCATTGCAGCATTCTCCCCCCCCCCCCCAATGAATTTGTATGCACAAATTCCAGGACTGCAATTTTTTCCACAATCACACAACTGAAACAGTACGTGGCAGAGAAGTGGTTATTTGAACGACCTTAATCCACAAGCAAATTCAAAAGATCGCAGAAATGCATTGTTATAGACACCTGGATTTGTAAACTTAACGACGAATCAAGACGGGAAGATACGTCACGCTTCAACAAGCGAGATAATTCTGTGGCTTTTTCAGGATGAAATGTCGCGACTAAATAATTGGAACTACCTGTTGCATATTTCTGTTCTCCACATCGCCCCTGAAATGAATTTAGAAATAAATTTTCAATAGATGAATATGAATGATGTAGTAAATAAATGAAAGAGAACATAAAAGATATGATTTTTCTATTTCTTTTACAAGATTTTTATAATAATATATTGAGAACAACAATAGCTTCCTATGAAATCTTCTACATTTTGATTATATAGGCAACATCACATTATGTCGAATTATATCAAGGATTATGATGAATTATGTGTGAGTACTCTTCGTTGTAAAAAATGCTCACCATATTATGGGAAGATTAAGTATGCAAATTAGAATAACCCTTACCAAACATGCAAATATAATGGAGAGGAATCAGGGAAACTTGGGAAAATTTTATCAGCCATATTGGTAATATGAAAGGAATGTGGACTGACTAAATTATATTGCTTGAAAACATCAAAGCACCCAATTAAAACAGATTTCAAACTGCCTTTTCTTTAAAACTCAAGCAAACAAAATTTTGGAATAGAGATGCCACTTTTTTAATTCATCCATACTTCTTGCTTGATAACTCGATTTTCAGCTGTCCATGATGCTTGGGCACATTCTTTTACTAGTTGTTCACAATCCATAACATCAATTTCTTTAGCGTCAATATGCTCGCACACTTTTTTATATCGTTTCAAATACTCATGCAAACTATGCCGTGGAAATTCGTCATGCTATAAAAAAAGAACATTAAGAAAAGCATTATTTCAGACTTTAAAAAAAAAGATTGATCAGATAACAAAATTTTTATTAATATAACTAATAATTCATTAGGCTAAGTTCATTAGTTTTGTAAACAAAATCTAGTAAAAGAACTCTTATATAGAGATGTATTAAGACAGTGAACATATATAATTATTTTTGAAATGGAGTAGAAATTCTTACTTCCAGAAATTCATCCACAAACTCTTCCACGGATTCATATAGTTCGTTTTGATAAAACGTTAATAATTGGTTTTCCGTCAGCAATCCATATTCATTGTATTCCAAGAAAAGAGATGGATCCGCAATAGCTATGCGTTCATCCATAACCTTACCACTTCAAACACAAATAGTTAATAATAAAGACTTAACATGTTCATTTCATTTACTATTATATCACTTTATTTCCAGTTCTTAGCATATTTTATGTTATAGGCCAACATCATGATTATAACTGTCTAATAATTAAACGAAAGACCGCTGCCCAAGCTTTGGGTGACATTCATCCAACTAAATTTTGTTATGAAATAAATTTATCGAATTTTCTCAAAACTCAATCAATTTTTATTTTGCTAAATTTCATCCAAATCAATTGCTTGTCCTGTTCCCTCTTATCATAGCTGAACAGTCCATTCAACACAACAAAAGCAATGAAATGAAACATATACTGAGTTTCCGACGACACAGGCGGTGTTTGCCGCATGCCAGTTACATTATGTTCTTGTACTCGTGCCGAATAAGTTAACGTCGACAATTCGTCGATCTTTTGGGAAGCCGCTGCCTTCATTTCATTCAACTGCATATATGGATAAATACTCGATCTATAACTAAAAATAATACAACCGATCGAAATAATTCTTTTAAATGGGTGTAAAATTTATTGCATTTTGTCATCTGCATGGTATGCTTTCTGGCCAATGTACTAGCATGTACATCAGCTAAAATTGTGTACTTTTTTTCTGATTGAAGCATTTCATCTTGTTCGGTAACCGATTTAGTCATCAGTAACCTTAACAACCAATTTCGTCGAAATCATATTAAATGAACAAAGATTAACGATGTCCGTCCGATCTTCATTTAATGCATAAATGAAAAACAGTAAAAATTATAGGAATTTGTCAAGTTAGTACGAAAAAAACAACGACATAATGGAAAATCAACAGAATCTATCGATCTGTTGTATTACTGACGCTATGTCCTTGATTGCATCATCTGTCTTTATTGCATCTTCGCTATCCATAAGTGAACTGGATGAAAATGTTGTTGGAGCAGGATATATTTTATCCACAGGAATACAAACCATACTTTCCACACTCTCTTCCTTTTTCGTTCTGGATAAAATCTCACTATTTGTCCTCTCACCACATCCCATTGTCCTGAATTCGATAATGTTATATGTACAATATTACAGTTCTCTATTTTAGTGCAGATATTCCACTTAGTAGCATGATCTACACTCAATGGTCTCCTCAAAAGACATGGAATGTTAACACGAAGTCTGAATTATTAGATAAAAACCACCGGGTTACGCTCGGAAAATGTGTAGACTTCTTTTCGAATGTCATGGAGAAGTAATAAAACAAAAATAAGCGAAGAGGCTAAATTTAATTCCAATGCACATTTAGGCATCAACACACATAGGATGATGTCGAAACAAATTTCCTAACATACATTTAGAAAAACAAACTTTTCCATCTGGTTAATTTCTTTTGAATCAGTAGATGATTTGTCTGTTGAAATAGTGTCGGAAAGTTTCTCTTCTGATTTTACATTTTCTTCATTGGCAGATGTATCCTCACTTTCCACCTTTCTTGTTGTACCTTCTTTTTCAGTCCCCGGTGTTAATGGTTGGAGCTTGTCAGCATCTGTAAATCGTTCTTCCAATTCGTCAAGGGTCAATGTGGGTGGTGGTGGTGTAAGTTCACGTGATTTCGGATATTTTATCTTTCTGGGTCGCTCCAACTCCATCACTTCTCAGAAAAAACCTAGAAGTATCAAATACAGAATTGAAAATATCACAAACTTTCTTCTAATCCAAAAAAAGAAATTTTAATTAAACCAAATCCAAAAAAAAAACAAACAAACTGACAAAATCTTTTAATTACAAATTAAAAATTTTAAATTAAACTATTTTAAGACTTTTTAAATTAAACTATTTTAAGAATCTGACTGGAGCGAATATAAGATCTTGATGCCAACCATAACAGTAAATCTAAATTGTTATGGGCAGTGCGAGATACGGGAAATAAGAGATAGTCTGGCAAATCTTAAACATCTGAATGTCCACAATAGCTGCTCGACTTTATTAATACTTGATTGCTGCATAACAACTCTATTATATGTTATAAAAATTTTTTTACTCATTTTATTCAAAATCTTCATAACAATTAGGCGGTACTTTAAAGCAAAGAAATTCGAAAATTCAACAATAAGAAGCATTTTTTAAATTAGCCTCCAAACTTCAAAAGAAATAAGTAGAAGCATGGTCTTGTCAATGCGGTAAATGTTAACCTTTACCACTATTCAACACGAAGTGTTGGAATTTCCATTACTCCTTAACAACCAACGGATGTAATTAAACATAATAATTTTACAATAAATATAACAATCTTCTGCTCAAAACTCATACTTTAGCAACGAAAAAGCAAATCATCACGTTTCGATCAAAATCTTTGTGAGGTGGACAAACATGTCAACAATTTAAAATTCCAGAACGGTAGAAAATAACGAAAATTTTGAGAAAATAATAAAAAAGAACAAAAATAGAAATTCTGGGAAATAATAAAACAGAAAAAAAGAAAGATTTAAGAATCAGCGGTAGGATTTTCACCACTTGAACCAGTACCATCACTTTTCTTCGTTCCTGAAACAATATCATCAATTCGCAGCAACATCACACCCGTCTCAATCGCTGTTTTCAAAACTTGTAGGCGAACCGATAATGGATCCCAAATATTTAATTCGTTCATATCAGCCTGAAAAAGATTACTGTATACCAAAACGAAAGTTCTTCAAATGTGTAAGAATTTGACCAAAACCTGACGCCATATCTCATACTAAATTACGAACCCTACAAAGATAATTTTGAAGTATTGTAGAGAAATAAAAACTAACCAATTGACCACTGCATCCGTCAATCCCCCAGGTCCAATTGTTAGTAGCCTGAGCGTGCTTAGCTCTCAAAGCTGTTAACTGTCTAATTGTCGAACCACCACAATTTTGCACCAATGTTCTTGGGATAACTTCAAGAGCATGAGCGGCTGCTTTATACGGCCACTGACGCACACCCTCAATTGATTTGCCTTTCTCGTTTAAGGCCTATAAAAACTTACTGCATGTAAGTGCTTCTCATAATCTACAGAACTTGAAACTTGAACAGAAATCACTTTGCCAAATGGCTAAAAATTCTCTTTCCCTTGAGCAATAGAATTGTCAATCACTTGAAAGAACCATAGTCAAAAATTGTGATTCAAATAAACTATCAAAAATCCGACCTGAGCTAATGCCATCTCTATAGCACCGCCACCTGGAACAAGACGCGGATTCACCATAACATTACGTACAACGTTTAATGCATCTTGAAGATTTCGTTCTATTTCATTGATGATATCCTAAAAATTAAAAACGAAAAATGGCTTATAAGCATTAATGTAACAACATGTCAGTAACTGGAAATAGTGCAGTGAAGAATCAGATCGCGCATCACTGTAACTTCCTAAATTTCATAAGCCAAACAATTATATTGCTAATCATGAATCATTAATCATAGGCTTATATCAAAACAGTAAAGTCAGACACATTTGAGATAGGAATCAGGAGACGTTTTCTGTTTAAATGCAAAACGTGAACATCTTAAATGAATGACTATTATCTCATGGAACAAATAACCATACCTTCCACATGAGATTTTATAGTTCAAACAAGATCCGAAAGTTTAAACAAGAAAAAAATTTTGAACTCCTGTCTTTTCAAATCAATTATCTCTTAACGCTACCTTGCTTGGGCCTCGCAAAACTATAGTTACGGCAGTGGATTTTTCTGAAGTAACGTAGGCGTAGTATTCGTCACCGATTTTTTTAATTTCAAATAAATCAGCATTCGTGCCGACATCTTCTTCAAGAAGATCTTGCGTATCATTTACAATCGTAGCTCCAGTAACACTGCAATGAATTAATCACTATCAGGCATAACCTTATTTCTTTAGATGAGATTACGATAATATGGATGTCTTTCGTCATGCTAAGAATACCTCATGATTATGATTTTTCCGTTTCCCCTATCACTTCTTCCTCTAGTTTTATGGGAAATAATTGCCTGAAATGTTACATATAATCGTTTCTTTCGATAAATTATACCGAGCCAATCTGTTATTTTCAGTTTTCTTCAAGCGCCTAATTGCTGTTACGCCCGCCTTCATTAGAAAATGTTGCGCCAAATCAGAAACACCTTTCTCAGTGAATACAACATCCGGTTTCACGGCTATTATCTCGTCACACATTTTCTTGATTGCATCTTCTTCCTTAAAAGCTTTTTATTTTCACTACAAATTTAACTTACAATTATTTAAAAAAAAATATTTTCAGCAGATTCTTTAAATTAAACCAGTCCTTCAAATCATGCTATTTTTTGAGTATCTTGCAAGCCATTTCCGCACAGAGATGAATTGCAGTACCCTGAATAAAAGATGGATTAAAACGAAAATTACCTGCTCCAAAACTTTGCTGAAGTCTTCTTCTTTCATGATTTGCAGTGACATCTGACTTTCGCCCTTTTTATATTCAAGATTACAGTCAAGAAGTACAACGCGTGGTTTTTCTTTCCGACGTAACATTTTCGCATGCGTAACATCTTTATTTAACACTACGCCTTTTATCACTTGCGAATCTTCAATTCGCCCACCAGGTATCTGGAATTGAACAAGTATGCATTAGCTTTGTATCGAGGAATTATTTGTTTTTAATTACATGACCATTCCTATTGCTAACCAAAATATACGATCCGCGTAGGGAACGTTATTAACAAGGTCTTTTTTACTCAAACAGTAACCACAAGGCAACGTTTTTGCTAATTGCTGGCTAACTAATAGCAAAAATATTTTAAAGAAACAATAACATATAATAATCGGCGCTATTAAATTAATTAAGCAAGAATATGGACGGAATAATACCATAACATGAGATTAATGGAAAATTGACAATGTTGTACAAAAACAACAAAAATAATGTTATACCTTTTCAATACGGCAATAACGCTTGATGTCAATTTCTTGGTGGCCCTGCTCGATAAGTCTGATAGTTCTAACAGCATTCAGGGCTATTTTGACAGCTAAATCCATCCATTTCGACAACATTTTTGTACCCAAACATGATTTAATAACAGAAGCGACTTCTTCGTCATTGTTTACATCAATCTGCTTGCTGAAAAATATCGCCATCTGAGAAACAGTTTAAAATAAATAAAAATGAGCTTTACTTGAAAATTCTAAACAATCCACAGAGTTATGAGGGATCCACTTTTAGCAAGAACCTGGACAAATCCAACTGTCAGAAAGTAGGAGTAGAAATTTCGAACATTAAAACAAACATACATTATAGATTAAAGAAACACTGCGCTCAAACTAGCGCTTTAAATTCAGTCATAAGAACATGCATTCAAATTTTTGGTTGGATACGTAACCTGAATTTTTCTTCAGCGAGCACAATCATATCTTCTAGAGCCATTCGATAAGCCTGAATGTAAAGTCGTTCTGTACGCAACTCTGTTATTCATAATCTTTTAATTAGTGTTTAACCAAGGCATGAAATAGCGACTTCTAAATTGGTACGACTTACTTGAATAATAATAGTCGGGTGGATGTTCTGATCTAAAAATTGTTGTGCCTGCGACATCACTTCACCAGCTAGTACTATAACCGAAGTAGTACCATCACCAGTTTCCTCATCTTGTGTACGAGCTATTTCGATGATTGATTTTGCCGCTGGATGTTTCACCGTGATTTCGCGTAAGATTGCGTTACCGTCGTTTGTAATAACTATACCTACAAATGTTTGATATGTAAACAAACTATCAATAATCAAAGTGCACAGAAAATGCTTCATATATCAGCATTCTGGAAGCTGTCATCAGTTGTCGCTTATTAATCAGTCGATAATAACATATACAACCATGAAGAAAGTGGAAATCCGGTCTACCTTTTATTTCAAATTAAACAAGAATGTACCTCCCATTGGATCCATCAGCATTTTTAGCATAGCACGCGGACCCAAACTTGTACGAATGACATCAGCAATAGTCTGAAACACACGAATCAAAATAATGAATCACCCTCTTTATGGAAGCTTCCCAGCTTGATATTTTCTGCATTACCATTTACAAAAGATGGTCCTAGCAAAAATTAATAATCATTTTGATAATGAGATAGTGCACGAACAAAGGATACATTAGCGAATGATAACGACAGTAGCCTTGTGAGGTACTGAAAGGAATTATACTGTCAGAATTACCTGGTACCATTGCATACCACGTGATTGCTAGGTTGTAATGATAAGATAAATAGTGACAATGACAAGAATAAATACCTTGGCAGCAGCAATATTACCAGCTTGCACCTGATAGCCACTTTCTCTCGTCGTATTTTGACTGAATACAATAATTGGTGTTGCACCACCTGCACGTATCATCTTGAACTATATTTCTTGACAGTCCAAAAAGAAAGAAAATCTCTGAAAATAAACTCAAATACATCTTTTGAAATAGAAATTAATAATATTATTTTCAAATCTACCCAATTACCCCAGGGATTGGCAACAAAAGTTAAAAAAGAACTTAGTAATTCAAAATGCAACAAAATGATTGTTTATGAACAGCAAAACTATTCGACAGAGGGCTCTCTCCATACTTATTTCAGCATTAGGCTCAATCCCATCATCGAAAAAAATTCTCTTCTCTATCATATCAAAAACTTTCTG